TAAAAACTAACAATCTTTACACCTCTGCTCAACGCCACCAAAAACCAATCTCGACTGCTACACGAGGAGAAAAATTACAATTTTTTGTGTCACTTAACTCCTCCGCTTTCGTTAAGAAACCCTCCAGAACAGAATACCGTCTCCCATCATACAAATACAAAAAATATGATACTATGTTTAAATAAACGCTTCTAAACTTCTAACAGTGCCTTTTTTATTTATCTGAAAATTTTTCGTTCTTTGATGCAGTGAATCTCTAATAAGGGTAACAACTATCATTCAGGAAGAAAAACCAATAGGCAAAGAAGGTAAACAAAAGATACAGTCGTAAAATACTCCTATAATGATCCATCGTGTAAATGTTGAAGTTTCAAAAATATGTGTGCGTTAAAAATTCGGGCATTAGATGTCAATATTTCATGTTTTTAACGCATTTCGTTTTCGTCATTTCTTCGCTCTACGAATGGTACAAAACGGTTCTTAATAGGCATGAAAAATCGCAGCTTTTGACAAGATAATAAAAATTTCATCTTATTATTTTGCCGTATCAACACTTCAGCTACCAGAACGACATTTTAATTTCTGTTAAGACTAATCTTTATTTGCGAAATGTATCAACTCAAATCAAACACCACCTGTCTCCCCCTTTCCAGTTTTGCAGGCGTAGTTTCTTTAAACAACAGAGGTAACAACTACAAAATCTTGCTTGAAAACATGCACTTTTGACACAATTAAGTTTATTTTAGTTCTGCACCACAAACCTTTAACACTTGGGAAAAGACTTATTGGTATGGCCAAAAAACTTGCTATCTTCCAAATAATTGCTTTAAATTCTCAAGAAAATTCAACATAAGTTACGAAAATCCAAAAGAATTTTACAGTGAAAAAGAAAAAAAAACAGGACTGTTGTCTTAAACCTTTTCTTTGGGGCAGCAGCTTTTGAAAACCTTATTTTTCAATGAAAACTTCGACGTTGACAAATATCAGACAGAAAAATAAACTTTCCGTCTGAAACCAAAACTATATGTAGACTGTTTTCCCCGTTTTTTTAAAAGAATATTTTCCAAAATCTTATTGTCTATAAAAGAAGTAAAATTTTATCAAAAAGAAAAAGATAATTTGTAGCTGCAAAGCAAAAAAATTCATAGCACCGAATCTACAGTGACAAGAACGTCCTCTTTTTCAAGGAAAAAAAACAATAAGGGTGACCATAAAAGTGTGAAGAACGACCAGAGTGGTCGTATTTTTAGAGTCCCCAAAAAATGAGCATCTAAAGAACAGACTTTTGAATTTGCAGAGACATTAAAAATTTACTGCTCATCTAACCCAAACCTGCAGGTCTGACATATGAATAAGAAGACTGAATCACTTTAATATTTAAAATGTGGAGAAGTTTCCGCTTCACAAATCAAAACAATAGAAGGAGCTTTCAACCAAATCAAAGCCCATTTATCAACTTATTCTCATCACACTTACCAAACAATAAAAAAAGCGTTCAAATTTAAAAAAAAAATAGTGTAATCAAAAATGTTTCCAAACAGTTCTGATTAAAAAGTAAAAGAATAAAAAAAAGCACAGATACACTAGCAACTTCACTTCACACTAATATTACCAGTTAACTTGACTTAAAAAGTCGACTTGACAGAAAGTTTCCCACAAATCAACAAGTAATCGGTTATCCACCGCATCAAACCATCACTTTTTGCTATTTATAATTAGTCGTAAATTAACAACTACCGACAAATTTGAAAAGTGATTAGTATTGAAAAAATTTTAAAACGAGAAAATGAATCATAATGAACAGGAATTAGATGGAATAAATTGACGCATTAAAATGTAAGTTACACGTTTAGAAGTTTCTTTCAAAACAGCTTAAGCACAAATATTAATAAAAAAAACCCTAATAAACTTTCAAAAGCGTTAAAAAACGAAGAGAAAGAATTACCGTCATCAAAGCACAAATTCCGGACTATATCGACAGCTATTAAACGTCGTTTAGGTCTGTTTTTCAAAGAAATCAGCGGAAGAAGATTCTTGACATGATCACATACCTCTCGACGAATCTTTGGCAGTTCAGTACAATTCACTAATACATATCCCAAATAATCAGCAAAATCAGCAGAATCCTTGGCATTTAACAAATCTAAAATTTACAAAATATAGTGAAAAAACTTCTATATCCTAGGTAATGTAAGCAGGTGAGTAGAGAAATAGGAAGTACATCTGAACAGCTTATCTAAACTTTAAACCATGAAATCGTTACAACCGGCCTTTTTTGAAATCGTCCGCTAAAAATCATCAAAACAGTTTTTTCTATTTTTATAAAAGAAAAACAAGACAATGGAAATAAGAAAAAAAGCTTTTGCTAATCCATCAGCTCCTCCATCAACTACCAGTAATGAACAAAGTCAATATATGAAAATTAATTCAAAAAGTTTAGGACCTACTTGATAATAAAAACTGCAACATACCTCCAATCAAGAAAAATTAAATATTTCAAAGATTTAAATCCAATTTGTTTTCACTAAATAAATTTTGCCTACCAATAATTACAGAAATTGTAATTTATACATATACATACATATAAATATATATTCCTTTAAAAAATAATATTTCTCTAGATTTTACAACAACCAGCCTTTTCTCAGTAATCCCTAAAAATTGTAAAAGCAATGAAAGCAACCTAAACAGATTTACTTCCTGTATTCTGCACACAACCAAATCATATTTTTGTAAAATTAGTGATCAATTGTCTTCAGATTTGGTTTTTTTACATCAAACTGTAATAATCCAATAAAACAGAACAACAAACAAAAGCTAAAGAACTCAACAAGCATATGAAAATTTACAACCGGAGTTGCGATTATATTAAAATGTTGTCACAACATCAGACCTGTTGCCGCTTTGTTAAATAAAATCAGTTTTGAGTCAAAAAAAGTTTATTAAAACATAAAACTTAAAAATTTATTTCTTAAAAAGACACAATAAAGGTTAATCAAAATCTCTAAAGCCTGCAAATAACACCACTTTTAAATCCAAAAAAAAGCTCCTGGTTCTAGCTTGAACAAAAAAACTTAACATCAACATAACAAATAATGTTAATGAAATGTCATCTTTGTTTGAACATATCAAAAGAATTAGATATTTGCAAACCAAAAAGTAATAAATAATCAAATAAGGGCATTAAAAGTTGATCTAAGTTATATACTGATTATGCAAATTATACTTTAAAGCTGGTAATCGAGAGGTCTTCAAATAAAACGAAAATCTTTAAAAAAAACTTTTCTCTTCACACAAAAATAACGTAGGAGATAAGATGTACTGGAAGTTTCGGTGGACAAAGCATATCAGCAATAAAAACAGGAGAAGAACTCGCAAATCAAAAGAATTATTAAAATCTTCAACAATTTATTGTTTAAATCGTCTTGCTGAGAAAAGTCCGATAACAACCAAAACTCCCTAATTTTCTCGGTAGCTCTACTTTATTACTTGACAGTAATGGTTCTTTATTGTCAAGAAAGAATAAGGATAGGAAGGAAAACAAGTACAAAAACAATGGTTGTACTCTTTATTCAATTAAAATAAGGCAAAAAGCTTAATTAGACAAACGATTTGAGTCTTGAACGAACTGACTATAAAGCAAAGAAAGTAATGTCTTAACATTAATATAAAGAGTAGAAAGCCTAAATTGCAAAGCCAGCAACGAGAAGCTTTAGAAGCAAGAAGGAATCTTACCTATTGTGTCAGTCAAAAAAGCGGGCCATTCCTTCGCAACAATGTTAAGTACCTGCAATGTATGATGGTGCGAAAAAACATAGTAATCTGTGAAAAACAATACACTATTATTTCATAGAGTGAAAATTATTAACAAACCTTAGAGCTGAAGTGAAGTGAAAGATTTGATAAGAGTTTAGCAGCATCACTAGCCAAAGAATCCTGGTTCTTACAATGAACGGTTGAAATTGAAATAACAGAAGAATGTTCAATTACAAAATTTGCCGTCAAAGGATCATCAGACGTTATATTTATAAAACCAGAATAAAGGGCAGGTTGGTCAGAGGGGACGGTTTCAAATAGTGCACAAAAAGACTTTGTAAGCGAAAAATTATGCGCCTGAAAGCTTCCAATCAGAAACTTACTGCAAAACCAGTAGGTACAAATTCATCTCAAAATCATACAATTTCAAAAACTTCCTATTTTTTATAAACAGTGAAAAGGGTAATGTTCCACGAATCCTCTCAAAGAGATGCTTATTAAAGAAGAGATTCAAGCAATCAGGAGGCATGCCTGGAAAAGTTCTGGACCTTCTGCAGTCGCAGAAATTCCAACAATATAGGCTATAGCCGAATGGCGAATTTCGGGTGAGGTTTCTGCGTTCAAAAACTGTACCAATTCTGGAATAGCCGAAAGTGACGCCTCGGTGGGCATAGGGAAACCTTAGGTTACGTCGATACCTAAACAATAAATTTCCGACTAGCGTACAATTTCATTTAATGAAAAAAATTGTTTTTCAACAATTTGAACGATTTAAAGACGATACAAAAAACCATATACAACAGTAATTTCTGTAGTTAATTATCAATTTTCATCCTTTGCTTGTTACCAGAAGTAATCACAAGTCCAAAAATAAACCACAGAAAAAGATAAACAGCAAGTTAAACAAGAAAGATGTGCTTCGAGAATGCGCTGTTGTAATATTGGAGACCGGTACAGAAACTTAAATGCCATTGTGCATAAAGGGGAGAAACATGATATATTCAAAAGAGTAAGGATAAAGAAAAAATCATATCATGAAAATTACAAGCCAACTGGGCATTGTAAAATGACCTGTAAACGTTTGAAGAACAATACATAGCACAAGTATCCAAAAGTAATACCGCCAACCGTTGCCGGTTGCATGAATAGGTACTTTTTGATGTTAGTAAAAAAAAAAAAAGCAAAAAAAAATTCAAGAATTTTTAAAAAGCAAAGTTGGCAAAATATCAATTGAACAACTTTTAAATATTCAATGCACTGTTGCAGCTGAATAATTTTCGACCAGCCGTTTGGAAGTGGATGTTACTGATCATCTGACATTGCATTATTTCCATATGCTTCAAGCTTTGCTGTTTACCATTTCTAATAGACCGCACTTATTTTGTTAGTGTAAGTCTGGGTCCCAGTAACGGTGTATCATCTTTTGTGACCAAATGTGCTAAGTTATCAAGTATTTTCAAATCAAGACTAAAACTATTTTTGTTTCATTTATCTTTTGCCACTTTATCGGGTCGTCACATTTGTTATACCGACTTACAGTCCCTCACAAATCTTTTTGATGTTTACACCTTTAGAAGTGATAAGATTTTTTGTCATCAGTTTACAGTAACTATGGTTTTTAAAGAAAAAACGAAGAACATTAGCTAACACTTTTTACTTGGTGTTCAATTCTATTTATCTGTTAGCAAGGAAGTAGGAAACAACAAATCGTTTAGAACAATTTGAATTAATAAAAAAAAAGGAGGTATAATAAATTTTTGGTCATTAAATTTATTGATGTTTATAAGTTTAGATTTTCGAACATTTATCAAGGTTGAAATATAAAGGTGTGTGAATTTTTTGTTTCATCAATAAAAAAACAGTTAATACAACTGAAGAGTTGCTTTGCTCAAATGTTAACAAGAAGAATTAACAATTTTTTACCACAAAATAATTACACCGACAACTGCAAAAACATTAGAGAGAAGGGACAAAGATTGGTTTGTTTAATTTTTAGCTAATAAATTTGTCTTAAGTACACGATTTTCTCTTTTTTTTTCTTTCTGTTGGGTCTATTTGAAAGAAAAACTAGAGTTCTATCATACCACTCTCGGTGGTAGTGTTTTTTCTTTCCTGTGTATATGTTTCGAAAAATCGGGTAACGTTGCGCAATCGGAACATTTGTTTTGTGACTTGAGCTGCCGGAAAAAAAGAAAGTAATAAAAACAACAGCAAAATATATGTACCAAGGCGGTGAAAATGTTTGCGAAGTTTTAGTTACGGGATTAGTGGTAAAGAATGGTTGAGATGGGTTTAGTTGAGTTCTTCTGGTTGCTGCTATTGCTGGTGCCGATAGAAGACTGGCAAACAGCGTCATCAACATCAACATCATCAATTCCAGTAAATCAATCAGAAGCTTGAAGGACTCTGATTTTGGTTACCTGTTTCATTCTCAAAAATTCCACTTAAGTGGACAAAAACAAACAAAGGAAGTTTTTTCTTCTACTAGTTAATAACCTCTCCACCACTTAAGAACACTAAATTAATTGTTTTTTATCGTTAGGTAAATTGTACAGTATATTGTAATTTGACTCTAATCTGCTATGATAACATTTTATTTGCTGAAAATCAATTTACAGATCTGTCGTTCAGATTCAAAATAAAATAAAAAAGGAAACAAAGCTTTTACTTCCACTTTTTATTATGTTTGCTCATGCAACAAGTTTTATCTGATGGTATAAACGAAGACAAAAAAAATTATGCAGTCATGGAAACTTATAAATAATGTTAAACGGGGACTTTTACTTCGCATAAAAAGACATCGTCATCTCAACTATTTCCATAACCAACTCCTTTGCATTTAATATACAAAATTTGACAAATTTTAGTTTTTGCTAAATAATCAGTATATTGTAAAACTTGGAATGTTATAATTCAGTTTACAGTAAACTATCACTTTTAATTATAGTTACTTGGCAATACAGTAACAGTACAACGGCTATCATTCAGTAACTACCAAATATTATTGGTTTACAACAGTACTGCTAAAATTAATAAACATAACTGTCTCTCAAAAACTGTTT